AGAATAGGAAGTGGTATCTCCATTTTAAAGATGAAGCTGAGGTTTAGGTTAATAATATCCAAAGTCACCTGCAGCTAGTAATGAGCAGAGCTGAGATTCAGATCCAGAACCTGTGCTCTTAGTCACTCTGCTAGACCATCTTATTGACTTTGTGTGTTGCCTTCATCTCAGGATGGGGCAGGAGAAAAGGAAAGCAGCTTTTTATAAAAAGTCTGCTATAGGAATTGAGTCTTCTGCAGACTTCTCAATGTAATCCCTTTATACTAGCCCTCCACTGTATCTTTTAGTTTTTTCCCATCTAGGAAAGTTCCTTCTGATTTTGCCTCCTCTTGTCTAATCCCCAGAGCTTACTCAGAAGACCTCATTCATTCCTGAAAAATTCAAAGTTGCAACTAGTCATTTCATGCCAATTCACAGCAATTTTCACTGCTAAACATAACTGGAGGTTGGGGTCCAGTTCCTTAGCATTGGAGATCTGTTGCCAAAGTGGGTGCCAAAGTGAGAAGAAAGAGGTACCTGCTGGGGCCACATATGATTACACTATACCTTCCAGATTGTGATTGCTACCCCGGGACGTCTGATTGATGTGCTGGAGAACCGCTATCTGGTGCTGAGCCGCTGTACCTATGTGGTTCTGGATGAGGCAGATAGGATGATTGACATGGGCTTTGAGCCAGACGTCCAGAAGATCCTGGAGCACATGCCTGTCAGCAACCAGAAGCCAGACACAGATGAGGCTGAAGACCCTGAGAAGATGTTGGCCAACTTTGAGTCAGGGAAACATAAGTACCGCCAAGTAAGGCTGGTTCCCTGGGTTAGGAAAGGTTGGGCAAGTTCCCAAACCTGCTCTAGCTTCCTTCTTGCCTTGGGCGAGCCCACAGTACATGTTTCCAGAATGGTGAGGCATGCCTAGATGCAGACCTCTGACAGTCCTAGGGGTGGTGCCATTTAGCTTTGCCCTGGAAAAATGATTTCAAGGTGTCATAGTACCAGACCATAGGTACTAGCAAATGCTCCCAGCCCTTCCCATCATTGTAGGGTGTAAAATGTCTTGATGAATAAGTGCTGAGGACAGAGTTGGGAAGGCAAAGCTTACCACCAGGGCTCATTTTAGATACTTTAGCTGGGCTAGGCTGCCTGTGGTGATGTGGGATATGTGATTGTGTCTGCCTGGGCCCAGGGCTGAGCCTCCTGTTTTCATAGACAGTCATGTTCACGGCCACCATGCCCCCAGCGGTGGAGCGTCTGGCCCGGAGCTATCTTCGGCGACCTGCTGTGGTGTACATTGGCTCTGCAGGCAAGCCCCATGAACGAGTGGAACAGAAGGTCTTCCTCATGTCAGAGTCAGAAAAGAGGTACAGGGGCAGCTAAGCCGGGTGGAAACAGGGTGGGGAAAGGGCTTTGAGGACTTTTTTCAGTGAGAGTGCTGGCTGGAGGGTGATTGCACTGCTCTGTTGAAGAGCGTCTGTTTTCATGTTTGGAATGCCATGGGCATTGAAGACCCTGGGATTAGGGTTGGGCATTTCACTTGGAGTGGGGATAATTATGTGTCTTGTTTTCCTCCTCTTCCCCTCAGGAAAAAGCTGCTGGCAATCTTGGAGCAAGGCTTTGATCCACCCATCATCATTTTTGTCAACCAGAAGAAGGGCTGTGATGTGTTGGCCAAATCCCTGGAGAAGATGGGGGTATGTCTGGCAGAGGAGAGCAAAGTCTGATCTCTGTGGAGCTTTCTCAAACTAGAGGGTCTCCTTAGGTGCCTGCTTTCAATTCTCACCCATTCTTTAACTTCTCCAGTATTCAACAAGTCAGGGCCAGAGGGAAAAGGCAGTTTTATGGTGATAAGGAAAACTGGGTTGATTGATATGACCAGATGTCCATTCCAGCAATGCCAGCTAAAGCTGCCGTAGGGCTTCATCCAAGTGGGGTGGGGCCAGATGGAGATTTTGAGGTACATATTCTAGAAGGGTCTGAGGACCTGGAATAGAGTGGGTCAAAGCTGTTTGTGTTTACATTTGTTTGGGTAGGTGGGATGATATGGTCAGGAGGGAGATGTTGATAATCAAGATCCTTTATTTATTTATTTTTTTAATAATTATTGTGTTTTCAGTGAAGGTAGCAGTTTAGGTTCCCATTCAACAATTTCTGCACAGGTTGTTCAGTGACACTGGTTACATTCTTCACAATGCTTGAATATTATCATTGTTTCCTTCCTGGTTCTTCTGTTTACATTAAGCTAGTTTCCGTGCCCCCTTACATTCTCATCTTTGTTTTAAAGTAATTGTTGACTGTCTCATATAGGTGATTTTTTTAAAGGAGCACAGTACTTACGGTGATATTCATTATTTTTTGAGCCAGTTTGTTATTTAGCTAAAAGGTGACCTCGGGTTAGTTTCGGTTCAAGGTTTGACGAGTATCTCAGGGCAATAGTCTTGGGGAGTCCTCCAGACTTAACCAGTCCAGTAGGTCAGGTTTTTGTTTTTTTAGGAATTTGAGGTTCTGTTCCACATTTTTCTCCCATTCTCTTTGGGACTATCTGTTGTATCCTTGGTCAGAATGGTTGGTAGTGGGAGCTGGGCACCATCTAGTTCTTCTGGTTTCAGGATAGATAAGGCCGTAATTTGTGTAGACTATTTGTCCTGTAGACTGGTTTCTTCTTTGAGTCTTCGTTTTCCTTCTTCCTCTTTTGCTCTGAATGAGTAGAGACCAATAGTTGTATCTTAGATGGCCATTCACAATCTTTTAAGACCCTACACACTATTCACCAAACTAGGAGGTAGAACATAACTTTATGAACTTTATTATGCCAATTGACTGAGATGTCCCATGAGACTATGGTCCTAATCCTTCAAACCCAGAAATCCAGTCCCGTGAGGTGTTTGGTTATGTCTAAGAAGTATCTGTAACTGTGCCTCCTATGTGCTCTATTGTAAGGATATCCTTCTCTTGATACTGGTGATTGAGGAGAAGTGTGTGTGTCCTCTCCACTCAGCTTTTTAACTTACATCTTCTTGATCCCTGCTTTCCACCCTATTCTTTGACCTAATTCTTGCTCTTTGACTACTTATCATCTGTCTGACTCCACATCTGGCCTCGGTTGCTTTGCCTTTGACCTTCCCCTCTGTATCCCTGCCACACCACATCCTATACTCTCCTATCCCTTTTTTCAGCTTGTCTGTTCTCTCCTTACTTGTTTCAGTTGCACTTATTCTTTCTCCTGTCTCCTTCCCCTTCTACCCTGCCGCGGTCTCCAACCCTCCCTCTCTTCTCTGTCCCTGCTCCCTCTTAGAGTCTCTGTCTTGCGATGATCCATTGCTCTTTCTTTATTTTTCCAACAGTACAATGCTTGTACACTGCATGGTGGAAAAGGCCAGGAGCAGCGAGAGTTTGCACTGTCCAACCTCAAGGCTGGGGCCAAGGATATTTTGGTGGCTACAGACGTGGCTGGTCGTGGTATCGACATCCAAGATGTGTCTATGGTTGTCAACTATGATATGGCCAAAAACATTGAAGGTAAGTGCAGGGGAAAGCAGCTTTAGTCCAGGGTAGGGGGAGACTCCTTATCTCTTCGCTCTCAAAATTGGGGTGCTGCACCAAGGGGGCTACTGCTGCCATCTCTCAAAGCTGAGTCTAGGATGGCTTATCCCAATGAGAAGATCTCCTGCCCTTTATTCCACCTGGATTTGTTGTCCCAGCACTGGGATAACACTTCAGTCCTCAGGGGTGTGGAGAAGCATGGAGCTAGGCAGCTCTTAGTGTGGTAGGATGACCAAACATCTAGTGATAAAGAGTACTGTAGGCACTTCAGGTTTCAGTCTCCATGAGTTGCATTTACTGCCCTTGGTGATGGGGTGGGGAAGATGATACCTTTGGAAACAGAGGCTTCAGACACTGCTTACCAGGGTTCTGGCCTGATGCCCTGAGTGACTGACATTCCTCCCAATCCCCAGATTACATCCACCGGATTGGCCGTACAGGACGAGCAGGCAAGAGTGGTGTGGCCATCACTTTCCTCACCAAAGAGGACTCTGCTGTGTTCTATGAGCTGAAGCAAGCCATCCTGGAGAGCCCTGTGTCCTCCTGTCCTCCAGAGCTAGCCAACCACCCAGATGCCCAGCACAAGCCAGGCACCATCCTCACCAAGAAGCGCCGGGAAGAGACCATCTTTGCCTGACACAGCACTCTTCCCGTGGGTTTAAGGGCATGCTCTGAAGCTGCCTAATGCTGATTCTTCAGGACCCTTACATCCCTCTCTCCAGGTCCTCACTCTTGGGTTGTGGGAGTTTACAAAACAAGACTCCCTGGCCCAGACCTCCAGGTCTGAAGGCCTGAGCTTCAAAAAGAGAGGAGCTGCTGTAGGAGGCAGGGAGAGCAAATGGCCAGGTTTTGGCCCAGCTGTGCCCTTCTGTGGTTCTTTGGGGTTGCAGTGGGCTGTCTACTCTTGCCAGGGTATGGGGACAGCCAGTTGGCATTGCCCCTGGACTGAACAAGAGCCTGGCTGCCTGGATGGGAGCACCTTCAGCATAGACTTGATTGCATAAGCCACAGCAACACCGTTGCCTGAGATGACCCAGGGAATGTGGCACTGTGAGGGTTATGGACCTTGGACTTTTGTTGTCATTTTTGACAGCTGTTTTCACATTTGGATTTTCAAGTCAGGAGCTTTTAGAGCTGCGTACAACCCCTGTGCCAAGGGGTGCTACGCACTCTAGGCTTCCCTCACCCAGGGAATTTTTTTTTAGTAACTGGGGTCAGGCTGAGCTGGGGTCAGGGTCATCTTTGTCACTGTGTGAAATTTCTGTTTTCTATTCTCTGAGAAGATAAGTTTGTATGTTCTGAGGATAAATACATGGGTATTAAGGCTGTGTCTAGTTCTAACTAAACTCATCTCCCAGGTTCTCCCTGGCACCGTAGAAGACAGGAAGGACAGCACTGGGCACAATACATTCACCTGGAAAATGAAAGAAAACTACAAGAGTAGAGCATAGGGTCTCAGCTCCTAGTTGAAGTCAATAGACAGCTTCTGAGGGAGATGGAAGCCATTGGCGCAGGACCATAACGCCTCTTCCTGACCCTGCTCCAGCCCCACACAACTTGTGGCCCTGGCCCGGACACCCTGTAGGTAGCTTTGCACAGAGTGAGAAAGGAAAGCAGCTGTGAAACTTTGGCAGGTGAGGTACAATTGGAAGCACTCTTCCAGCCTGTGCTGTGCACCTTTGCTTGTGGCTCCCTGATTGCCCAGTCCACTGCTTGTGGGAAGAACGGATGGTGAAGGGAGATGGGCAATGAGGATTGCTGAGCTGGCCTGGCTGAGCGCTGCAGGGCCTGGGCCCTTCCGCTGATGCCCTCTTACTCACATGCTCGTTACCCCTCAGAAAGGGCTGGCAGATACATGGAGTTCAGATTTGTACTTCTAGGACCTTTGTGGCCTGAGGCAAGGACAGTATAAAGCTGTGACTAAGCCTCTCCCTTCCCCACCTCCCAGAACAAGTTCCATCTGTGCTGCTGAATGTCTCTCCCAGGCACCTGGGGGTGAGGCTGAGGGGTGGGAGGGCTCTCCTGGCTCTGCCCTTTTTCTCCTTCCCACTCAACGGGTCCTTTGTGAGAGGAGAAGCCAGAATACTTCTTTATCTCCTCCAGACTTGGGTGGGCCATGTAGCGAGGAACCTGGGCACCTGAGCCAGCAGACATAGAACAGAAGCCTGACGACTGCGCATGGTGTTTATTAGTGATGACAGTGAGGTGGGGGCAGGGTCTTGTGGAGCATGCTCTGTAGGTCACACACTAGAGCCACAGGCAAGGGTAGCTGGGTAGACAGGGCCTCGGGGGGCTGTCTACCGTGTCCTGCCTCTCCCCATCTAACCCTAACTTAACAAGCAGCAGCTATGAATTGGAATAAAGTTTGGGGCTCATACCCCCAGGGTGCACGAGGGGCAGTAACAGAAATGACCAGATGCAAGAGCAAAAGAATGAGGGGGTGAGGAGGCCCCTGAAGCGGTTCCATACGTTTTGTGCTATACATGCCCTCCCTCCCCCAACCCCCAGTCCAGGTTGACTCCCGCCCTCCGTTTGGCTTGACCATGCTTCTAGTCCCTGGTCTCGTCAGATGTTAAGAAGCTTCGCAGGGTAAGGAGAGCTCTCCCTCCAGGAGCTTCAGCTGTGAGGTGCTGCTTTAGCCCCAGCCTAGGCTGCCTGCTGCTCCAGTCCTGTACCTGGATGCCCCAACCCAGCTGATAGATGGGAGTGCCTCCCTGATGGGCTTTGATTGTCTTGTTTCTAATGTGTGGTAGTGAGGTGAGTGGAGACCCTTAGACCCCAAATGACAACCCCTGAGTCCTTTGACTGTTATGACCTGTGCCTGCTCAGGGACCTTGTCTCTTCTTCATGCCATGCTGTCCACACCCCCACCCTCTTGTCACTTTGAGGGGGCATCCCTTCCCTGAGTGGTGGGAAGGCCCCTGCTAAGGGGGTCCTGGCCTGAGGGCACTGCCCAGTGGGCAGCTTCTTGTGCAGGAGGAGAGGAAGGTGCCAGGGGTGCAGAACACACAGCTAGTACCTGGAATGGGAGCCTAGGGGGGTCACTGCCCAGGAGGTGAGGGGGGCTCCCTGCTCCAAGAACCTTGGGACTCCAGGCAGCCCTGGAGCTGGGGCTGGGCAGAGGGTTGTGGGGCCTGAGCCTAGTGCCAGCCTAATGCCAGTCTAACTCCAACCGGCCTGGAGCGGGTGCCCCCATCAGTTGGGCCCGTCCCTGCCCGGGTAGGGCAGCAGTCAGTAGCTATCCTTAGGCCAGGGCCGGTTGCGCTGCCAGTTCCGGTCATTGTGGTTGTGCTCCGAGTCCTGGGCTAGGAGTCGGTCCTGTGGGTCGTGTCCATTAGCACTAGGCAGCCCCGAGGTGTGTTGACGGTGAGGCTGGTACAGGTCCTGGTAGGCATCTCCATAGTCCTCCTCGAGGTGGTGGGAGCTACGCTGTGAAGATCCTGTCCAGGCTTGGCGTGAGCTCTCGCTGGCCTCATCTGAAGGCATCAAGCTGTCCCGCTCGAGGGGTGAGTGCTCCTCACCACGTTCCCCCAGGAGCTGCTGGTTCTGGGGGCAACACACAGCTCTAAGTGAGGCAACACAGACCTCGCCTTGGCCTCCCTCCCCCATCTGGTAGGGTGGAGGGGTTCTTGCCCAACCACCCTCAAGTCCTGGGTACACGAAGTAGCACAAGAAGGAGAAGCATACTAGAGCAGTCTTCCTCTTCAGATATGGAAAACTGGAGCTTTTGACACCCTCCAAATTCAGGGTAAGGAGCCCTGGTGGCGCAGTGGTTAAACGCTTGGCTGCTAACCAAAAAGTCCACGGTTGAAATCCACCAGCTGTTCCGCAGGAGAGAAGAGCTGGCGATCTGCTCCCATAAAGAATACAGCCTAGGAAACCCTATGGGGATGTTCTACTCTGTCTTATAGGGTCACTATGAGTTGAAATCGACTCAATGGCACACAATGACGACAAAATCTAGGCTCTGCCTTCAAGACAGATTAGGAGGAGGGTTTGGAGATTGTGCTTCCCCTGGCCCCTAGAAAACGAATCTGATTACCCATCTCATTGGCTTATTGCCTCTCTCATCAGTAAGTTCTTGGGCTGTCTGCACCAGCTCTGTCTCCAGCAGAGCTGAGAGCTCTACAATCCCTTAGCCTTTTGAACTGGAGGTCAAGGACACTCCTCAGCCTTGGACTGGGCAGGGATGGGGGGTGGTCAATGCTTGGGCTGCCTGAGCTTGAAGTTCTGAGGCCACTGGAAATGATTACCTGAAGTCCAGGGATGGCAGTGGGAGGGCCCAAAAGACCAGGGCCGGGGGCCGGGTGGTGGGTGGCCCGCCAGTAAACCTCCAGGTATTCGGCCAGGTGTTCACAGGCATCCTCCAGCTGGTTCTCATCTAGAATCACATCAAATGACTCCTGGGGGAAAAGGGGAAGGGTAAATGTTGGGCTCCTCTCAGTGATAGCCCCCTCTCTACTGCTCCCCCAGTTCTGGAAAAGCAAGAGTGAGCATAGGAATAGCTGATGCAGGCACTCACTGGTGGGCACTGAACCAGCTTATCATATGCCATCATCTGTACAGTCAGGTGCTTCATCTGTGACTTTCCCCGGGAGCGGATGAGACGCTGAAGTACCTGAGGGAAAGGGCAGAGCTGGGCCTGGAATCTCTTGGGGCAGAGCCAGGCCTGGAAAGAACCAGGCATGTCCCCCTACTTGTGATATGGCATCAGTGGCAGGTGAGGATGACTCAGAATGGTGTCAAGGGGCAGCGGGAAAGGGAACTCGGGTACCCTTGGCAGAGTTGTACATTCTAAAGGGGCAGCGCTGTGGGCCTCCTTCGTTACCTCTGCTGACCTACCTTTGGTGAGGATACTTTGACAAAGACGATGATGGGGGCCAGTGAGGTCTTGGCCAGCTGTGCTGGGTGGTTGATGGTGTCAGCATCCAACACTACTAGCTGCAGGGATTTGGCCAGCTCAAATATGCGCTCGATCTCACTCTGTACTTCAGCTACGGTGGAAGGAGTGATCATCTATGGGTTCATCCACTTATCACCCCAACAGGGTTTTAGGGGCTCCCAGATGGTGGAAGGGAAGGAATTGGAGGGAGGGATATTCATCAAGGCCTGAGCAGGCAGAGGAGCAGGGAACTGAGACGATTGGGAATGGTTCTTACCAATCCTGGGGCAGGTGGAGAAGGAGCTGGGCAGAAAAGCAAGGAGTTGGGGAAGAGAAAAGTAGGAAGATGGTTCTAACACTTGAGTGGGCAGAGTAACAGGAAGACAGGGACTTCTCACCGATGCTGGAGCGGGCAGAGGAACGTTCTATGATGGTCCTCTTGCCAGGATTGTTGAGCACAGATCGCTTGGCCAGTGAGAGGTCAGCTGTGACGCGAGTGATGGAGATCCTGGGGTGGGGGTGGAGAATCACAGCTCACCTCTAAACCTAAAGCCCTAGGCCCCTCCCTACCCAGGCCTCACTAACTCTCCCTTCAGAGAAGACACTGCTACAAGCATTGGGAAGTAGGCAATGGTCTTCTCCCTGGTTCTCATGCCACCTCAGGCTAGGCAGCTTACCTGCCATCAAACCTATGTTTGAGGAAGTCGAAGAGAGCCTTCTGCATCATGTCTGTGACCTGAGTGGGGGAGAGCAGGGAGCTGACTGAAAGCCCCCATGGAGAGGGGCAGCATCCCCAGGCATGGCCCATGGAGTCCACCCCCTCCATACTTAGACCCTGGATGGAGGACACCTCCTCCTACTGTCCTGGGAGCCTTCCTGTGGCCAGTTTGGTAAAGGTGAATCTTTGGGACCAGGGACCTTGTCTCACCTCATAACCTTTCAGAGAGGGCCCCACCAGCACCACGGGCCGCATGGAGGGCACCACATCATATGGGGGAACATGTTCCGCCTGCAGGATGGACATGAGGTCAGGCAAAGTCATGGCCCCAGTGCCTGTCCTATGCCCTCTTGGTCCTGGGGGCAGATTTCAGAAGTCCTGGCACTCCCTCCCTTCTGTATCTTTTTGCCCCTCCAACAATGACTGCCCAGAAAACTGTTCCCAGAGTCATAAGCCATGAGCCCCCCAGCCCAGGTCCCTTCCTTGACTCACCTGCTTTTGCTTCTGCTTGGCTTTTTGGAAAAGGAAATAAAAGATTAGAGTTGGTGAAAGGGGAAAAGGCCCTGGGGGCATGGCATTCCCTTTCCCAGAGGAGATATGGGGCTTCTCCCAGCTCTTTGGATTCCTCCACCAACCCCTTCCCACACAGTTAACCTGGGGAAAATTCCCCCTTCCCCCGTGTCTTAATCACCCACCTACCTAAGATGGGGGTGGGGTGGGGGGAGGCTACCTAGAGATGGAGGAGGGGAGCGTCGGTTGCCAATGTCACTCAGGCTGGAGGGATTCCCAGATCTCCTGAAAGCAGAAAAGGTCAAAGAGAGCATGTGTATGTGCCACTGTGTATGTATGTGTCTAAACATTATTTAATACTTGTGTAAATTTCTACATAGTTTATCTAGTGAGGGAGTATATATGTGATATGTGTGCATTTGTGTGCGTATACTTGTATATTTGCTGTAAAGACAGATGTGCAAATGTGCATAGCTGGGTATATGCATGTATTTTTGTGTGGGATGCATATGTGGTGTGTGTGGTGCGTGGGTAATGTGCACATGTGGTGGGGGGATGTTTACCGAGTCACAGCCCTTCTCTCACCTGGCCTTCTGCTCCTGTTTGAGCCGGATGCTCTCCAGGCGCTGGGGGCTGGGGATGAAGGCGATGTCTCCGCCCTCTTTCACTAGCCGCCCGATCCACCAGTCATTGCTGTACTTCTGGGGGTGGGGAGGACAGGGAAGGGGCAGTGAGAGGCGGCAGCCCAGGCCTTAGTCCAGGCTCTTGGAGATGAAGAGCCAGGAGAGGCATTCGGCAAGCTGGTCCAGGAAGACTGAGGAAGGCAGCGCGAGGGGAGGTAGGCAGCAGAAGGAGCCAGAGGGAAGGGCAGCTGAGTTTGAGGCACCCAGGATTTCAGAGTGAGGCATCACAGCTGTCCCACGGGACCTAAGAGGCAGCTAATTTAACAGCTCACTTAACAGATATGGAGACTGAGACCCCACCAGCGCTGGGGAGGTAGGCAGCAGAAGGAGCCAGAGGGAAGGGCAGCTGGGTTTGAGGCACCCAGGATTTCAGAGTGAGGCATCACAGCTGTCCCACGGGACCTAAGAGGCAGCTAATCTAACAGCTCACTTTACAGATATGGAGACTGAGACCCCACCAAGGCTCAGAAGGATGGAGGCCCTTGGGACTAGGTCTTGGATATGAGGGCTGTATGAGTATGTGTTAAAGATAAGTAGTTGAGGAGTTTGGGGATGTGTTTACAGACTGAAGACCTAAAGAAATAAGAGGCATTGGGATTTCGGGCAGAAGCAGGGAAATTGAGTGGTGGAGGCTTCTTTGGGGAAGGGGGAGGGTTGTCGATCACCTCTTTAATGTGCAGAAAATCTTTGGCCTCAAAGTTGACTCCAGAGCCCTGGACTGGGCACTCCTCATCCAGTACACCACAGTAGCTGACATTGGTCCTCACAGCAAATGCCACGGGCTTGTGCTGGAGAACGTGGCCAACAGTGCAAGTGAGGAGCCTCAGACCACCCGTCCCAGTGTCAGTCCCCCATCAGCAGAGGGCCAGAGCCTCACACACACTCTTTCACCTGCACATACACTCTGCCCAGTGACCTCCTGGGACTTGGGACCAAGCACAGCTTTCCACCCAGTCTTGTCCCCTGCCCTGGAAGGTGATACCTTGGCCCTTTCGAGCTGCTGCTGAGCCTGGGTCTCCACTTCACGGCGGGCACTCTCCCGGTCCTCCTCCAGTGAGACGTCTGAGTCCAGAGATGGGCGGCTGGTATAGGAGTCAGCTGAACCCTGGGATGGGAGACAGGCTATAACCCCGGGCTCAGGTGAGAAGGGCACTGCAGAAAGTAGAGGCACCCTCCTAAACATACAGAGGTGCCATCACTCACCCTCAGCCTCTCCATCTTCAAGGAAGTGGCTAGGCCCCAGCCTCTTCTCCTGTCCCCATGGGAAGGGCCCCAGTGTCTCTTAGGCTGCAGGAAAGCCAGCCCAATCCATATGTGCTAAGATCTAGGCCCTTCCCCCAGGCCTATTAATACTGCAGCTTTGAATAGAGCCTGCCACACTTTTCTCCTTCCTCTCTTTTCCCTCCTTGGCCATGTCTTCTGAGGCCTGGGGGTAGAGGGATATACTGAAGATGATATATTGGAGATGATTCTGAATCCAGGAGACCCAGTCCTCTCATTCACAGCAGCCTGCAAAGCAGCCTGGACACTATCCTTTTAAAATGCCTGGCAGGAGTACAGCCAGCCAGGGAACAGTCAAGAGATGCTGGTTGGCATGGCACTGGCCCGGAGTGTCTGGATACAGCCACCTGTCTCCTTAGATCCCATCTTCCCTAGTCTCTACCATTCCAGAGTGAAGAAGAGGGCACAGAACTGCCATCTCCTATAAATTACCTTGCCTTTATTCTCCCCAACCCCCGCTTTCTTTCCTCCTACACCTGCTGGGGCAACTGGCCAGGTGTGGGCATCCAACAAGGCTGAGAAGGCAACATAAAGCTATCTCCCTGGGCACGGGTGAGGCTGGGCCACACCTACTACCTGGCCTACATCTCCCACCCTTTCCCTAAGCCCAGGGGATGTCAAGCCCTGGAGGAACGAACAGGACTCTGGGGACTTGGGGAGGGGATCTTTGGTAACCTGAGCAAGGTCTTTCGTAACCTGAGCAAGGTCTTTGGTAACCTCAGTCTGGCCCATAGGAAGGGTCTTTGGGCAACAAGGGCACATTTAGAGAGCCCAGAATTCACCTTCAAGGCCATGAAGGAAATACACAAAAGAGTAAGGGAAGTGGAACACTAAGAAGCCAGAAGTCAGGATGTCTGGGTTTCCCCCTCAGTCTAGGGAGAAGGGAATCTTGGGTTGTTTTTTTTTTTGCCATAGTTTCCCCTCTTTATGGGCAGAAAAATGAAATGATGCTTCCCTCAATCCTGAGGTGCAGATGGCAAAGAGAAGGTAGGAGCCTAGATAAGGGATTTACGTGGCAATGTGTGTGTGCGTGTGCCTGTGTGTAGAGGAAGAGGCTTTAGACTGCCTTCTCAGGCTACAGAACATTGCCTCAAGCCCACTGTCCATGAGTACCTCACAGAAGGCAGCAGAGACCAAACTCAGTGGGGAGCAAAATCACACACCTGCCATGCACCATGACCCCTGCCCAGCCCTGCCTTGGACAAGAGGACTTGTCAGCATGGTCTTAGCCCAGGCTCCAGAGCCTAAGCTACAGACAATGTCTGTGGTAGATGAGAGGCATGAAGAAAACACAGAGGGAAAAGTCTTTCATTTTACAGAGGAACAGAACCTGCCTAATGAGGGACATTGGTGGTTCAGTGGTAGAATTCTTGCCTTCCATGTGGGAGACCAGGGTTCGATTCTTGGCCAATGCACCTCATCTGTCAGTGAAGGCTTGTGTGTTGCTACGATGAACAGGTTTCCATAGAGCTTCCAGAGTAAGATGAACTAGGAGGAAAGGCCCGGGAATCTACTTCCAAAAATCCACCAATGAAAACCCTATGGATCACTTGGGTCTGATCCACAGCCAACTGTGGAGATGGCGCGGGACTGGGTAGTGGTTCATTCTGTTGTGAATGGGGTCACCATGAGTCAGGGGCCAAGTCAATGGCAACTAACAACAACAATGTCTGCCTGCTCTTCCCTATCTCTCCTGAGAGCAAAATAGGACTGGCTTGGCAGCAGGAAGGAGAAAGGCTGAGCTCCAGGAAGACCCTTTGCACTGTCAGTAGGGTGAGGGAGCTTTTCCAGGGGTCTCAGGACACAAGAGATTCCTCTACAGGACATGGCTGTTTGAAGTGGATAGAGGCCATCAGGCAGGAGGCATGAGAAAAGGCAAGATGACCACTCACTTTGATAAGGACACATCAGATACCACCTAGATGCCGAGCACGGTGCTGGGAGAGGAGTCTAACCTTTATTACTTGTCCTCCAGGCTCTCAGCCTAATAGTAATATTAATGTCCCTGCTTGGGGCAGCTGGGTTACCTGGCCTCCCAGCCTAGGATGGGAATGACAGGATCTCTCCCTTAATGTTTAATAAGTTGTGCTCTCTCCATTACTCCAAGTCCTCAAGACTCACCCATCTCTGAAGCTCTGGTCTCACTTGGGAAGGCCAGGGGTGCCCTGCCAAGCACACTCTGGGGTCTTGTCTCCCCCACTCCCTGCTATGCCTCAGTAGCCAGAGTCTCAGTACTTTGGAGCTGCCAGGAGTTGGCACAGTGCCCTGGTGGTGCCCCCCTTGCCTGGTAAGTGTGTGGGCAGGCTGCAGCTCCACTCTTGCCTGGCACGGGGAAGGAGAGGAGGGAGATGAGCCAGTGGATTTATTTAGAGCCTGATCTCCCTCCTACTGCTTCAGAGGGGGCCTCAGGGAGAGCAAGGAGCCAGGCAAGAGAAAGGAAGTGGGGGAGGGTAATCCAGGAACTAGAGAGAGGTGGGGAGGGAGCAATGGGACAGCATGCTGCCCCCAAACACCATTCACATGTCAGTTTTTACCTTGCAGCAGTCCCTGCCTTCTCACCAGGGATGAGAGGAAGCTCCCAAGGCCCTGCAGCCCCCCAGAGGAGTCCTTTCTCAAGCTCACCTTGGCATCCATGCCAGCTGTCCCTTCAACTGCCAGAGGTGTCCATCAGAGCCTTGAAAAGTACCTGCTCTAGCTGCGAGGTTATTAGCCCCAGAGACTTGATGGAGAATTGGTCCCAGCAGGAACCCAGTTCCAGAAAAGGACTGGTAGCTGCCTATTCTGAGCCCTAGCATCTATCCTGGGCCTGGCAGCAAGAGATGAGTGAGGGCTTGATCATACTGTCTTTTCAGACCAGGGGTGCTGGCAACTGTATAACTCTAACCTGCACACCCATCCGGGGCCTCCTCCAAGCCATCTAATGGTTCTCTTCCACGAAGGCCTTCTTTCAGGAGGTTTGATGGAAGATTGGCAGCTCCAGGGGGCTGAGAAGCTACTCCTCATTCTTGCCCCATCCTTCCAGGCACTCTCCCTGCTCTCTGAGCTCCGGGAATCACTGCCTAATGAGCTGATTTGTCTCAGTGGGTCAGGAGATAAAAGCAAAGAGGAGAATTAAATATTTATTGGTTGCCTGGTTCTCTGAGCAAAGAGCTTCCTTTCCATCTCCAGGCCTTCAGCTCCTCTGGCCTCACCTCCAGGCCCTCCATGCTGAGAAGGAGCTCAGGGTGCCTGCTGCTCTGAGGAAGCCTCAGCAGGAGGTTGTGGAATGGATGGGCTCAGTCAGCTGGCCCACTCATGTGCTGGGTGCCTAGGTTTATGCTGGGGCCAGTAGCTGGGCTGGAGGAAAGGTGAGGAGATAAAGCAACGTGCAGAGATGGAGGGTGGAAGAGGAAAACGGAGGTCCTCAAGTTTTATGATCTTTTTTTTGAATTTTATTGTGTTTATGATCTTTCTGAAGAGGTTGGGAACCAAATCTCCAGTGTTCTCCCAGGCTCCCTCATTTGTTGTTGACTTGGTGCACAGGAGGTCTGGAATGTCCCCCTCCTCAAGATCCCCAGCTTCTCCAGTAACTGTTATGTTCAGACCTCATAAATCCTTCCTTCAGGACTCTAGACATTGCCTCTGCCCTCTCTAAAGCCTCTATGCCCTTAGCCTCGACTCCTCCACCTCTCCTGTCCTGGGCTTTGGAGCCACCTGCTCGAGCCTTTCCCCCACAATGCTCCCTCCTTGCATACAGCCGGTGCCCTTTGGTCTACAACTGGGGCACTGGGGGGCCCTTAGCATGAAAACCCATCTCCCCACTTTCCTACGGGGCTCCCCGCACACACCCTGCCCCACCAAAAGGGCATTTTTTCAAAGTCCTGAACTGGGGGAAGGGTCCAACGGAGAGGAAGTGTCACCCCAACTTCCCCACCCCCACTCCCACCGTGGGCACTCACCGCCTCCGAGTCCTCAAACCCGGGCACGTAGGAGTCGTCATACATGGGGGAGTCCGGGTCGGGGGAAGCGAGCGGCGCCAGGGGCGGGAGCGGCCCGGAGGCGGGGGTGAGGGCAGCGGCCGCGCCCGAGAGATGCCACCGAGCCCCGCAGCCCAGCGGGCGGCGGCGGCGAGAGAGAGAGAGCGCGAAGGAGGGAGCGAGCCGCGAAGCCCAGATGCTTCGAGCTCAAATCACCGCTCCCCCCACCCCCCACAACCCTGCTGGTCCCACCCAGAGCGCGGCTGAGGAATCCTACAACAATAGTGCCCGCCCACCTGCCCCCTCCCCGGGAGAAGGAGGGGGTGGTGGCGGGAGGTACAGGCCTAGAGGGAGCCCAGATGCGGCCAGGAGAGGGGAGTAGACGTGAGGCGGGCAGAAGGTGGGTCCCCAAGCACCTACGGGGCGGAGGGGCTGCGGGGAGGAAGGGGAGGAGAGACTGCGGGCGGGGCGGATCCAGGCTCGGCGGAGGCGGGGCGGAGAGAGATGCGGAGACAGAGACGCTCAGCAACCCAGGAAATACTCCGCCGGGAAACAAAGGGCTGGCGCGGGCGAGGGGGGTGCGGAGCCTGAGAGGGAAAAGAGACCAGACCCGGGAAAGGAGAGGGCGGTGGTTAAAGGGAGGCTGGAAAGGGAGAAAGGAGAAGTAGAGGCAGAGGGAGGAAGGGGGAGAACAAGACATGAGGGAGGCAGAAAGGCGTGGGGGAGGGGCGGCAGGTGAGAGGGCGGCGTGTCTGGGCCCGGCAGTCCAGAGACTCGAAGAGCAAACCCAGCAACGGCACTGGGAAGGAATGGGTTTGGCGACACTAGGCTAATGCTACGAAAGCAACCCCGCCCCAAAAGGTGCTCTACCCTCTCAGTCCTGACACGCAGCAGCAAAGGGCCACGCTGCCCAACCCCTGTGAAGGGAGTTGGTTTCGAAGAGCTGGGTTAGGCCGCCCCCACACCTATCTCGAGCAATTTTCATCCTAGTCGCCGGGACGGGGGCTCCCTTTTTCACTTCCCTGCCAAAGACCCATTGCCAAGGCACCCGTGGGAACTGGGGAAGGGAGGGGCGTTTTAGGCAAGCCTAAAGGGAGAAGGAAAGAAACTAGAGGGTGGAGATAGGGGGATTGTTGTAGGTGGGACAGAAGGTGGGACCCTGGCCATACAAGGGTTGGGAGAGGAAAGGACAAGTCACCCGAGTCACTGGTGTGAGGCCAGATTCTGTCCTTAGCAAAAGGATGGGGATGGTGGGTATCCAGGTTTGAGCCACAGTACCACTCTGCACCAGTCCCCTTCAAAGAAGTGCTGAGATTTGAGATAAAAGACAGAGCAGCAGCCCTATTCTTAAGGAAACTTCCCCAAAGATTCCCCATTTGAGGTCCCTCCAGTTTCCATCCCTTGAGCAAAATTAGTCGTTTGAATTCTGATGGGTTACCTGCCTCCTCCCTTCCCCCATTCCATGGGGAAATGAGGTAGAGCGGAGTTACCCTTGCAAAGAGGCCTCTAGCCTCCTAGTGTCTGGGCTCTTGTTCCTCAGCTCAGTCCTTCTCCACCCGCAGTTTCTCACACCCAGGAGGGTGAGCTCAGGAATCTGCTTCCTGAGGTACATTATGAGGATGGAATAAGAAAATGGGTGTGAGAGCGTCTGTAAACCAAAAATAATCCCTGTCCAATTGTGAGGGGTTATCGCTTCGGTAACCACTGAGTGTTGCTTTGTCCCATCTATGGTGGGTTGAAGGGCGATGACAAGGGAGGGAGGAGTCCAGGGGGGAGGAGAGATTAACAGGAAGGGGGATGTGGTATAGTGGCTAAAACATGGTACAAAGTCAAGACACCTGAATATTAGTTTTGGCTCTGCCACTAATAAGCTGTGTGACCCTAGTCAGCTCACTTAACATCTCTGAGACTGTCTCCCCCTCTTTAAAAAGAAGTTGGGCTAGACTTCCTAGGGGCTTTTTTAGCCTTGAAACTTGGAGTCTGTGACACAGGACACCAGATATTCCTGACCCATCTCTGCTCGTTCATTTATTTATTCCTTCCACAAACATTTATGGGGCACCTGCTCTAAGTAATTCCTAGTCTCTTTCTGTCCTAGCTTGAGGTTAGGGGGGAATCAGAAAACCAAAGCTTGACAGGGTTTGATGAGATCTATGGTAGAAGGCACTGTGCGCGAGAGAGGGGAAGACCACCGAAAGCAATCCTCTTCCCACCTGTCACTTGTTCCTGTTCTCTTGACAAGGAAAGGAGAGAGGAAGGGCCTCATTTTAAGATTAGTCTGCCCTTAGTCTGTCTATCCCTGTCCAGCCCAGCCGAACCCAGCTCAGTATCTTCCTCCTGCAGGTTTGGTAAACTGAATTTTGCTGGAGCCCCTATAGCTGAGGGGGACAAGACACTACTGGGGGAGGCCTTCTGCTTTCACAGTTCCTTCTCCTGAGTCCAGGACCATTTGGGGGTTGGTTGTATATTTGATTCTTCCAGATTGGAATCCTGAGACATTCTGCTTTCTTTCTTTTGTGCCCTCTCCCAGTTCCTTGTCATTCCTTGTATACTCCTCTCTCACTGTGCCTCTTTAATTCCTTCTGTCCTTCCAGAAGGGCAGAGAGGAGGTATGAGATGTGAGAACAATAAGACCCTCAAGGTGCTCTCTTTTGGGAGATGACTGATGACGACAGCTGCCGGGGCAGTTGCTTTTCTTCCCGTCCCTAAATCTGCTCCCCTGGCCTCTCCTTTTGGGGCTCTCTCAACCCCTAGGTGGTCCTGGGGGCTGTTAGGTAATAGCGGATCTGCCATCAGCAGCACTCCTTCCTCACACACCTTGTTATCTTCATCCCTGTCTGGGACAATGGTGCCTAGGTCTGCTCATGAGGCATGAGTTGCCATGCCAACTACCCCCGGGAGATGGAGTCAAGCTCCTCATACCTGGGCCTATCCCCTGGGTCCTTCAGGAGCCTGAGAGCCTCCCTTCCTCCTTCCCATATTTCTAGGTTGCCACCCAATGCTCCCTTCCATTTCTCACCTCACCCACATCTGCCTGCTCCAGTTTTCACGCCAACCTAGTGACTTCCTCTCCTGTAGCAGGACATGTGCCTGTCAGTATCCATATGGCCCCGAATCCCTTTTCTTTCCCATGGTTGGGCATAAGGAGAGAGAGCTGAGGGCAAGAAAGAATCGAGGTCCAGAGCTACCTTGAGGAGAAGACTCCTCCTGCCTGACTGCCTAGAAGAGAGCTGTTAGCCTGGTGGTGGGTGGGTACCTAGGCATCAAAGCAGGAGAGAAGGGACAAGGTCCAAATAATCAGGTTTGGGAGCTGGAGTTCTTAGGGGCCTCCAAAATACATTCTAGCTTCTTCTCTGCATGTACCAGGAAGCTGGGCAGATCCCAATCCCTGAGTATTGAATGGGGAAACTGAGGCAGGAGCTAGAACCTCTGGGAAGAACTTCTCAGGAGTCTCCAATGTCTGGGCAGAGGCCCCTAGCATTCTGGCTACTAGGCTGTCCCCAGAGAACTCCATGAGGCACCAGGAGAGCTTGGCACAGTCTTCCCCTCTCCATCCTCTAATCTCGCCCCTTCTCCGGCTCCCCAGTAAGTCCTCCCCACCTATCCCAGTTCCAATGCTTAGGAGCTGCCAGCTTCAGCCGCTCTCTCTTCTCTTATATGGTGCTTCCTCCACCCTTGGCCTCACCGCCTCTGGCCTCCCTCCTTCCCTATCGCTGCAATCTCCCCGAAATGCTGGGGCTTTTCCTAGCTTGGAGTGGGGCTCCCCTCCCACCCACTGGAGGGGGCCCCCGGTTACCTCGTTCAGCAGGAAGGTTGCACTGGAGTCAGAAAAAGACATAGACCAGGCTGGCGGCCCTTCCCCCTCCCCTGGGCCCCGGCTCCAAGTCGGGAGCAGTACCCGGCCGCTGCTCCGCACAGTGGCTCCCGCCTGCTCGCCTGGCCTCGCCCCGCGCCCGCCAGGCTCTGCCGCCGCTCCCCTCCCTCTCGCCGTGTTCCCTCCCCTTCCCTCCTCCTTCCCTGGCTTTCTCGCCTCCTGCCAGTTTTGCTCGCTCTCTCTTTGGATCAGTCCAGCCTCTCCACCACCGCCTCTTCTTCCTCCTCTCTCCGATCCCTGATCTCTGTTTATTTGGGCACCTCCCACTGTCCTTCCAACCCCTCTCTCACCCTTCCTCCCCGTTTTCCCCTCCCCCTCCGCTTCTTCCTCAACTCCCTTCCTAGAAAGGGTAGGGGCTCCGGAGCGCCCACCGCTGCAGGCAGAAGGGCTCAAAGGCTGCCCCAACTTCTGAGCTTAAGGCAAAAAGTTCTGCTCCCCCGGCCCCTCCTCCGGGCGCCGGACGCCCAGCCTCTGGCCCCCGAAGAACAAACGCACCGAGGCTGGGACCACGACCTCAGCGGAGGAAGGGACCGAAAGGAAGAATGCTCAAGTGCCAACGCGCCTCCTCCGGGTACTGGGGAGGCCACGTCCATCCACCCCCCTCCCAGGCCCGGACCCTGTGGCTCAGCAGGATCCATTTGGAGATAGCCCAAGCGGGATGTGCCCTGCCTGCGCCGGGGAGTCTCTGCTGTCACCCCTCCTCTCCCAGTGCTGAAGCCAAGAAAGGGAAGGGCGAGGCGAGGCAGCTCCTCACCGACCGACTGTAGCGCCCCCTGGGTTCGCTCGCCCGGTGGCAGCACACGCCCTCCAGGTGGCGGTAGCCTCTCAGGGTGCTATCTCTCGCCTGGCAGGGGCTTGGCCCTGCCAGCAGCAGGCGCTTTCCTGGCCAGAGCAGAGGGTGTGCTGACCGGAGCCAGATCCCGTCGTAGCCTAGGACGAACCCCTGTTCCTCTTCTCTTTCCAGAAACTGAGGTCCCACCTCCAGATCCTCAATAGGGACCCCAGGCTGCCCTCTTTTTTATCCCCAACCCCGTGGAAGCTCGTTTGAGACAAACTCTCCACAGGTCCCCAGACCGCTCCTACCTCCATCCTGGTCTCGTGGGGCACCCCAGCTGAGCCGAGCAGTGTTCCAGCCAGGACTGGGCCACGGGGTGTACAGAGCCTCGGGACTGCAGCTCGGGTCAGTAACCCCCTCCCGCCCCTTCGGCGGGCACGTCAAACAGGACAAGCCCAAGTTCTGTCGGGGAAGGGGGTGGGGAAGAAGGGTGTAGCCCCAGTTAGCTCTCTCCCTGTACCTTTCAGAACGAACCTGCCTCTCATTGGTCCCTCCACACACCCCCAACGCCCGCACGCTGGACCCCCTCTTCTTCATACCAAAGACTGCTTTCTTTTGGAGACAGATGGACACACCCTGAGACTGAATGACCAGGCCCCCCAACTTCCCCTTAACACCAACTAGAATTCTCTTTCAGATCGAGGAAGCCCCCACTGTTGTTCCCTACTCCTTCTTGAACTCACTTCCTCTGGGGGTTTGGGAACCCCTTCCCTCCATACTACCTTCCCCTGGGGATCTCAGGACACTGACCCTTTCTTTCTACTA